AAAAAAAAAAAAAAAAAGAATAAAAGTGAGGTTATGGAAAGGCGAATGGGTGTGTAAAATGAAAACGCGAAGCCTGAAACGTTAGCGCTACGCTGTTATCACTACGTTATCATCGCCACGTTATCGCTGTCCCCTCTTTGGAGGTGTTTATTGTTCAATGCGTATTTCATCACTTGATTCGTTATTGTGGTCATAATTTCTTTACGGGATTGGAAAAATGAAAATCAAAAAAAAAAAAAAAAAAAAAAAAAAAAAAAAAACAGAGGCCTATGTGAGGGGGGGGGAGGGATTTCACGCTGGGCACAATTAACAAACAGGGCTATAAGTGTAACAGCGCGTGGCTTCTGAAAAATCTTCCGTCGATACAATGTGGCGCCTTTTTAACCTCGAGGAGGGTTTTCATGGGCGAGCTGATGTGCAATGTGATAAAAAGGTACGTAAGAAGCACAATTGTAAATCTGCTTATCCTTCCGTGTGTGTACCCACTTGAAGCACAGGCGGAGCTACCATCTGAGGTGTGGCGAAATAAAATGAATAAATTGAGCTGAGGGTCTTGTGTTTCCTATTTTTATACTTTTCCCACTACTACTTAAAATATATTTACAAATTGTAAGTACAAATTGACACCGGCAACAAATGGGTAAACTCTGCGCTTACTGGCACACATGGGGGGAGGAGGCTGGTGGTGGAACGAACTTGGTTGTTTCAGTAGGCCGCTTCACTTTTCCGTTTAAAAAAAAGGGACATGCAGGTCTGTGCGCGCTTTCTCAAGTTGCATACGCCGCTTGTACGTATGCACACCTTTGTATGCACAAGTGCTCCTGTGTACAGCCAATTGGACTTTCTCACACATATACGTCGCCCTGCAGGCATATAACACAAAGTGGGGGCTATAACGTAAAAAAAAAAAAAAAAAGAATAAAAGTGAGGTTATGGAAAGGCGAATGGGTGTGTAAAATGAAAACGCGAAGCCTGAAACGTTAGCGCTACGCTGTTATCACTACGTTATCATCGCCACGTTATCGCTGTCCCCTCTTTGGAGGTGTTTATTGTTCAATGCGTATTTCATCACTTGATTCGTTATTGTGGTCATAATTTCTTTACGGGATTGGAAAAATGAAAATCAAAAAAAAAAAAAAAAAAAAAAAAAAAAAAAAAAAGGAAAAAAAAAAAAAAAAAAAAAAAAAAAAAAAAAAAAAAAAAAAAAAAAAGGCAACAAAAAGGCAAAAAAAAAATAGGCAATAAATCTGCAAAAAGAAATGGTGGAAAAAAATATTAAATTTTTCCCGGTGTCAAGTGCGCATTTTACATTTTAAATAAACGCGTTGCAGTAGGCAATACCTGTCACGGCCCTGAAAAAAAAAAATGTGCCACTTTTTTAAACATATACTTTTGGGGTACATATTTCGTTTAGGTACTAGGAATTTGCCGCAGCTTTATACGAACGTTGAGATGGTGTGCGTTTATTTTTTTTTCCTATTTAAATTGTCATTGCGCGTTTGAAAAATTTACTGGTAGTACGTACGCCTGTGTGTATGTATGCGTAAAGGGCGATGACAAAAAAGGGTGCACACACAGAGGTGCAAATAAACACCCACATAATTTGCGCATCTTCAATTCGCATACATTTTGCCCTTTTCCGACTCTCATCAAATATCCCTGTGTGTGCCACACCCATACATATTTGATGGGCGGGATAAAAAAAAACATTTCGTGGCAGTACTGCCAAGCGAGCGAAGTTGTCGCGCGCATCCACAAATGATGGCAGGACAAAAGCGAAGAGAAAATTTCCCAGAGAAGCATCAAATGGTAAAAAAAAAAAATAATAAATAACATAGTGAATTAATCACATGCAACAAGTGAAAACGGTTTGTTCTTGCTTGATGCTCGTTTTGTCATGCCAACGTAATGCAGTGTTCCTATTTGAAATTAAAAGACGTGACAAAAAAAAAAGTACGATTAAACTAAAGCATTCACGGCAGTGTCCTTGCACCATTCACTCATTGTAGAGCAATCCTTAAAAACTATTGTTATTTTTGTTTTTTATCATTTCGGTTTTGCATGCAACGTGGGTGACGGTAGGTACAGCTAGGTTGAAGAGTCTACCACACTATGCGCGCGTTTCTGTGTGCGCCCCAGAGTTGCACATATATAAAGCGAAAAGTGGGAAAAAACGGAGGAACTAAAAAGTGATATTTGCCCATGTGGATGACGAGTACTACTACTCCTCCTCACCCTTCCCACCCAAGATATTATTAAGTGCCCCACGTCGTGAAAGAGAGAAAACGTAAAGGCATATATGTTTTATACTATGCTCATGTTGGAGGGTTAACCTGTATATGTACACGAAATTTGGGTATACTTGAAGGAATACCATACAAATCCGGGTGCTTATTTAACTTATAAGATGCAATAATGTCTCATGTGAACGAACCTTTCCACAGTGACTAATCCTTTTTTCTCGTTATCCTTTTTTCCTTTCTGACGTGGAACCCTAATCTGAATCACAATCGTACATATGTACAACACACAGTGCTCTCTTTTCTTCTGTCCTTTAACAACTCTTACGCTTCTTTCCCAGTTTGTAATATGCCCACATGGGTGAACACTGAGGAAAAGTGCCTTCCTGGGGTGTCCTCAGAAGTCGTAATTACTAATACGGGGAAGGCGCGCAATGACCAAGTGCAGGTCTTCCCCCATTTTCTCATTCTACATTCATGCCCATATATAGGGGAATGGCTCCACGTTAATGTACAAGCGGTTGTGTTCGTGCCACATGTTATTCCTCCCCCCATCTGCATCATTGTAGCAGGATGGGGATAAAAAAAAAAACGTTTGCAGCACTGCGTGGCACTCCGTAGGGGTATAATTTGGGGTGGGTAGGCAACATTGCTCATCCGACTGCTATACAT